GTCACGACTTGCTCTTTAAACAATTGCTAAATCCACAAGTGAGCGTCACGTTGCCCATTTCAACATTCTTTAGGTTAATTTATAGCTCTATGAGCTGACACCACATTTACACTCTCGGCCTAAAGAAAAGCGTTCAGCAGTTTTTCAGGACGTGGGGGATGTGACTATTTCCACATACCCGGCCTCCCAGGGCCATGGGGATTTAGCTGGCCTCAGTCCCCGACGCCAGAACAATGCACAGTTTATCAGCACTCAGGTAGATCTAACGTTCTTTATGAACAGACTTTCACGTGGTTGCCGATTCCAGTACTATTACAAGAAGGTAGTCAGGGATGTCTCCAAACACTGCACCCTGGGGACCCTGTGGGGGTATCTCGTGATAAGTTTAAATTGTGATAGACGTGGCCAAAGTCGCCTCTGGAAAGTCTGTGCTGATTCACAGGACATATAGCAACGCAATAAGAATCTGCCCACGCATGCATCTACCCAGACCTTATCACACTTTTCAACTGTTCTTTCTATTCTAAGAATGTACGGCATCTTATGTGTGTGTACATATGTATGTGTGTGTGTGTGTGAATGTGTAGGTGTGTGTATGTGTGTGCATATATGTATGCATGTATGTAGATGTGTATATGTGTGTGTTTACATGTGTACATGTGTATATGCATGTGTGCATATTTATATATGTATGTACATGTGTATGTATGTGTATGTGTGTATATGTATGTGTGTGTGTAGATGTGTATATGCATTGCATATGGACGTGTGTATGTGTGAATATTGTGTGCCCGTGTGTGTGTGTATAGATGTGTATATGTACATATGTGTATGTGTGTGTACATATGTATATGTGTGTGTGAATGTGTAGGTGTGTGTATATGTGTGCATATATGTATGTGTGTATGTAGATGTATATATGTGTGCGTTTACATATGTGCATGTGTGCATATTTATATATGTACATACATGTGCGTGTATGTGTATGTACGTGTATGTGTGTATATGCATGTGTGCATATTTATATATGTATATACATGTGTGTGTATATGTATGTGTACATATGTATGTGCGTGTGTGTGTATATGCATGCATATGGACGTGTGTATGTGTGAATATTGTGTGCCCGAGTGTGTGTGCATAGATGTGTATATGTACATATGTGTATGTGTGTGTATATGCATGCAGTGTGGATGTGTATGTGTACATTTGTATGTGTGTGTGTGTATGCATGCATTTGGATGTGTGCATGTGTGTACATTATGTGTACATGTGTGTGTGTATGTGATATAATGGTTTATCACGTCAGCTTGGGAGACTGCCTTATTTTTCTTCCTAGGGCAGGAGAGCGTTTACGAGGTCTGGGCCTTTCTCCTCAGTTTCTGTGTTTGCGCACTTTGTCGATAGACGGAAGAGGAGTCTACAGGGCAGAGTTCATGGTCCAGAAACGTGGCGTTGGCAGGCTGCAGTGATGAAGACGGCCTCTGAGTCTCTGCTTTCATGACCTGCCATGAATGGCTCCTCTGGGTGAGAGGCAGGTGCTGACTTCTATCTTGTCCTGCAGTGCCAGCCATGGACCAGCTACAACCAACTGCTGGAGCTTCAGTGAAGAGTGAGACAGAGCTGTGGGGACAACTTAACCTTTCCATCATCATGAGATCCTGGAAGACCAGGGTGTGTCCAGCTACTTCCACATCAAATTCACAGAATGTGACCTACAACAAAGGTTAAGACATGATGCATTAGTTTAAAAAGACAAGTCCTAAGTCCAGAAATCAGGAAAAAAACACATAACGGGTTTTATTAAAGTTACAGAGACTGCCAATGTCAGCAGCTTGTCATGTTGGTGGTTACTGTGGTGGACGCTTCCACTTATTCCCCCGATGCGGTCCCCCACGCTCTCCCCAGGCTGACTCCCAGTGGGACCCTGGCCATCCCCTGCAAGGCTCTATGGGATCTACCTTAATGATCCCCTTCCTTTTGCCCACACAGTGGTGGAAACTCTGAGCAGATCTGAACTGACCAAGGCAGAAGCAGCTAAAGAAAAGACGGAACTGTAAAGGTCCCAGGAAACATTGAGTAGTCACCTGTCCAGACACTAACTAGTTATGACACTTCTGCTTGGCCAGACAAAGCAACCTTCACAGTGGTAAGTAGGTTGTTGTGTTAGGGATCCCCCAAACCACCCCTCAGGTTTGAAGGTTCATTAGAAGGACTCACAGAACTCAGCAAAGCTGTTGTACTCATGGTTATGGTTTATTACAGTGAAATAATATTGATTCAAATCAACAAAGGAAAAAGGTATGTGGAGCAGAGACCAGGAGGCACCAGGCATGAGCTTCCAGGTGTCCTCACCAGCGGAGTCGGGGACAATGCTAATTCTCCCATCAATGACGTGTGATAACACGTGTGGTGTGTTAGGAACCAGGGAGGCTCCCCTGAGCCTTGGCATGCAGGGTTTTTATTCCTGACTTCAGTCTTATTTCCTCCATAGATCAGGCTGATACTTTGTCACCCACAGCCCCCACTACAAGTCACATTATAGAATAAACAATCTAGGGTGGCCCAAGACCCCCAGGTGAACAAAGACACTGTCACCAGGCAGGACATTCTGAGAACTCAGAGGTGACCTCCCAGGAGATGGTCAAAGGGTAGATCTTTTTTTTTTTTTTTGGAGTGTTCAGGGTGTGGACGGTCTTGGCCCACTGAGTTGTCTTTACCACGCAGTTGTGTTGTGGAATCATTTGTACTGCCAAGACTCAGAGGGTGTGAGAATCAGGAACGTCCCTCCTGCCAGCTTGGCAAATCACAAAGAAATTCACAGTCTCACATCCACTGTTGGGTTCCTCAACACTCTTTCTCAGTTCAGACTCCCTTGATTCTCTCCTGATTCTTGAATTTTCCTCTAGAAAGCCACCTAAACATGGCACAACTGAACATGGCATCTCTTCTCTCTCCGCTCCAACCCCTGGGCCAGTTCTTCCTCCTATTCTGCCAACTCTAAGAAGATGCCAACATTGTGACATTTTCCCAGCCCTGAAGCCCCAGTTGAGGTGGACGCCTCCACCTCTTTCCCTTCCCCTCCAGTGTCTTGTCACAGCTCTGTCCTGGCCATTGTGCCCGCACCTTGTTCGGGGAGGTCTCCTTCTGTCTTGGCGGTTCTTCTGGTCTTCAGCTTCCCGAGCGTGCTGCTGAGGGAAGGCTCTCCAGCAACCCCCTGCACCATACAGCAGCCCATGAACACTGTCATCGGGAATTATGTACCAGGCTGGAGCTGGCCTATCCCAACCCATGGCTGTCATCAGGGAGACCTTGGGGCCCTGCCGCCATCTGTGCATCTCTTCTCATGAGAAGACGTCTGAAGCCCCCTGTGAGGCTCTCTTGGCCATGTGCACAAGCTGCCTCCCCTGCTCCATGGTCCAGATAAAACCTGCCTCCTCCCTTACTTAGCCACCCTCACCCATCACCATGCGTGAAGGCTCCTCCACGGGGCATCAGGGCTGTGATTGTGTCCCATCTCTCATGACCCTTCTACTCAGCCTTACCCTACCTTGAGCTACAAACCCATGACCTACCCATTCTGAAAGGTTGGGTGTGCTTTCTGAAGGTCTGGTGAGCTGAACTGGGTGGAACTGGCCCAATGCTGAAAGTGAGCTCCCAGAGATGTGTAATCGAAGACAGGAAGACCCACCATGGTGCCCCAAACTGGGCAGCTTCAGTGAGCCATCTGGTTGACCTCTTGGAACGATAAGATTCTCTACCTCGATGCTTGACGTCCGTGTTGGGGCCCAGAAAGTATACCTTAAAGTGAAGACCTCAGAAGCAGCCTCAAAGCAAAGTTTTCCTCTGACCTTTTTCTGCTCTCCAGTCTCTCAGCCTGATTCTCCCCCGAGGCAAGCCACAGAAGCCAGAATCCAAAGCAGGTCATAGATATAGTCTAATCTTCCCCCCCGACTGTCTCTCTTGGAGCTGGCCATAAAGAAATTCTCTGACCTACCTTATCAGATGGTAGGCCATGAGACCCTCGTTCCAGAAAGGGTCCTGCCCCACTCCCTAGAGGAATGAATGCTGCACACAGAGAGGCCAGAAGGAATCTGAACAGACAGGCCTTGCTGGGTCTCCCCACGCAGTCTGTGAGCATCAGATCATACGTTTCTTGTCCAATCACAGTTCTGCATGACGGTCCCCGCTTCACAGAAGCTAAGCATAAAAATGGACCATTTTCTCTCTATTTTGGGGTCTTCATTCTGAAGTCTCCCATATCACACAACATTATGATATAATAAAACAGATTATGCCTTTTCTTCATATCGATCTGTGTTTATCAGGTGATTTTTCAGAGAACCTTTAGAGGGTAGAAAGAGATGTCTTCCCTTGGTGCCAACACTAGCAAGAAAGTACGCACCGTTGAAGACTTTTTGAAGACCCGTCACAGTGCCCAGGCTGAGCAGCCTTGGTGAGCCCCGTGGTTGACCTCTTGGGAAGATTAACTTCTCCATATCAATGCTTGAAGTCAGCAACAAGGTATGCATCATGGAAGACTCTTTGAATAGCCACCATGGCACCCAGGCTGGGCAGCCTTGCTGAGCCATCTGGTTGACTTCTCGGGAAGACAAACTTATCCACATCCATGCTGGAGAAAAGCAAAACTTCTTCCAGGAAGACAAAGACCATGGAGGCATATTCCGTACAGCCACTTTTCACCTTTGCTGTTGTGACTGTTCAATCGTTTTCCATTCTGTGTGCCTGGAGCCCTGTGCTTTGTATAGGCACCGACTGTTTGTCCCTCTACGGTGCTTGGTTTTTCTCAGCACTCTGCAGACAGTGTGAGGGGGCGCATGCAAGTACACACACAATGAGTGTGTGTGGATCACATTTCCCAATTCTGTGTAGTGAGGAAGCACAGGAGGGGGAGGGAGTCTAAGAGAAAAAGGAAGGTCTGGGTTTGCAGCCATGCAATCAGTTGTTACAGGAGGTGGCCAGATGCCGGAGTCGCAGGAAACAGAGCAGAGAGCAGCAACTTGAAGGAGGGAGACGGATGCAGGGGGGTAAGCCGGGTTCCTTTATCTCGTCGTCCTCAAGCCTGCCGTGTCACGACTGTGTTTCTGTTTCTCTGCTTCTGTTGCTGCAGCAGTCAGCTCTTGCTCTAGTTCAGCGAAGATCTGAGGGTGGGAAAGAGGACTCCGTGGACAAGGAGGCCCCCAACTGAGTAGAATAACCAGGCAGGAACTGATAGCACATGATGTTTTAAGCTGTGAGTCAACCCCAGGGATGACCAGCCTGCATGTGGAGGGGTCCCTGGGCACTGTGACATTTCCTCTGTGTTTTGTCCCACTGCATCAATTATTTGCTTGCCCAGACCCCAGGGAGCCCTAAATCCAAGCTCCGTACAGGGTCTGCCCACAGGCCAGCTGCACCAGCACCACCTGCAGCGTTTTAGAAGTGAAGCCTCTCAGATCTGGCCCCAGACCAGCCACAGGGTGTCAGAATCTGCATTTGAAAAGTTTCCCAGGTGTTTCATGGGTGTGTTAAATCTGAGAAGCTCTGATTTGAATCTTTGAGTCTTTGCTTTGAAGTAATTTCTGCTAATGGTTATGCCGCCAGTATGAATCTGGCCCTCGCATCGTAGGCAGGAGGGGTGACAATTAGCTTTGCGTCTCATGGATATTCATAATTTTTAAAAAATAATAAATAGGGCCGAGCCCGTGGCGCACTCGGGAGAGTGCGGCGCTGGGAGTGCAGCAGCGCTCCTGCCGCGGGTTTGGATCCTATATAGAGATAACCGGTGCGCTCACAGCGCTCACTGGCTGAGCGTGGTGTGGCTGGTCTCAAAAAGGACAAAAAAAAATAATAATAATAATAAATAAATAAATAAAACAAAATAAAGTCTGAGAAGCTTTAACTCCGATTTGCTTTAAGCCTGAGATTTGCTTTAAACCTGAGAGGCTGCTCCTGTTCATGGAGTTCAGCGACTCTTTGTTCCCAGTGCCACTGAAATCTGTATAAAGAAGGAAGAAAAAACCAGTCTGGTAAAATTCTAAAGGAGAGTGGGTAGGCATTAGACACAAAAGGCCAAATAGCGTATGATGTTCTATGGAAACGTATAAAGCAGGGGAATCTGTAGAGGCAGAAGGCAGATTAGTGGTTGCCAGGGGCTGGGGAGGAGGAATCGTAAGGGACTGCTAAAGGGTACGGAGGATCTCCTTTTGGGGTAGTGAGAATGTTTTGGAACTTGACAGAGGTGGAGATTGCACAATAATGTGAATGTGCTAAATGCTCCTGAATTGTTTACTTTAAAAGACTGAATTTTATGCCATGTAAATTTTAACTCAATTTAAAGAAAAAAAGACTATCAAGACAAAAATGAAAAAATAAAATAAAGCAATAAGACCTCCCTGGTCTTCAGTTTTCTGGCCACTTCTGTGAGGACAGCAGGAGGATCGAATCAGGGAATGTGTGAAATGTCCCCTGGCTTTGCACACCATGGCACTGGACCCAGAAGCCACAGTGTGGACGGTTTCATCAGAGCTTGCTATGCCTCAGTTCCCCTCTGCAGATTAATCGAAATCCTCGGCCGAGAGCGTTGAGCTATGACTAGCTATTTATTTAAGACAGCGATGCTTGCATAGGCTACTGTGTGTGGGTATATGATAATGTGGTTGCTATGGGGTTTTTTGTTTTTTGGGGTTTTTTTAGTCAAGTTTAAAGAAGTTTACGGTTTTGCTTCATCATAATGCAAGAAGAAGGTAGCAATAGCTTAGTTCAGAGGAAGCCAGATGGAGAACTGTCTTGACCGATTACAAATTTCCATGCAATGATCAGGCACGTCACATTCCCTCTGAGAGGGTATATGTCCATGGGCAAGTCTCTAAACCTGACAGAGACGCCAAAGAAGAGAAACATGGACCCAAGAAGTTGTAGGGGAGGAAAAATACCTTTTTCTTTTACCCATCTGGGGTTCATTGCTGGAGGGCCCTGTAACAAAAGACAGATTAAAGAGAGAAAAGCAAACAGAAGTGTAATAACATGCATACTGTCTTAGTCCACTTTCTGCTGCTAAAACTGAATACCCGAGACTGAGTAATTTATAAAGAACAGAGATTTATTGCTTACAGTTCCAGGGGCTGGGAAGTCCAAGATCAAGATGCTGGCATCTGGCTGGGGCCTTCCTGTTGGGTTATCACCTGCAAAGCAGAGAGAGAAAATGAGAGGACCTCCCTTTTATAACTAACCTTCTCCCACCAAAAGTTTTAATTGACTTATGAGGTTGAAGACCTCATGGCCTCATCACCTCTGAAAGGCCCTGCCTTTCAATACTGTTACAGTCACAATTAGGTTTGGGCATGAGTCTTGGCAGGGACATTCAAAGCACAGTGCATAAGTCATGAATCCATGGCAGACACCCAGAGACAAACGAGCTTTCAAAGAAGTGGCTTAGAATTCAGGATTAGGGCCGGCCCGTGGCTCACTCGGGAGAGTGCGGTGCTGATAACACCAAGGCTCCAGGTTCGGATCCCATATAGGGATGGCCGGTTGGCTCACTGGGTGAGTGTGGTGCTGACAACACCAAGTCAAGGGTTAAGATCCCCTTACCGGTCATCTTTTTTAAAAAAAAAAAAAAAAGAATTCAGGATTAAATGCCATCTTCAACTGGGAGGAAAATAAAGGATGTGGGTTGGGAAAGGCCAGTTATGGAGAGGTGACCAGAAATAGCACAATAAACAAGAGAAGGGTGGGTGGTGCAGATTTAAGTCACTGCTTCTCCATTAGTCAGTATCTTAGTGATTTAGGGTCATCCTTCTAGAACTTCCTACTACAGAGAGGGAGACACCCTCTGCGTGAGGACATCCTTCCTAGATGTAAATTTCCCTTACAACAGAGTAACCTGCTCTGTTTCCAGATCTTCCCCTACATTTGCTGTTTCTCCAAATAAGCAGCTCAAAATAACCCTTTTGCTAACAGGGCACATTTTGCATGCTGTATTCTGGCCTCCCATAGTGGGTGGAGTATTCTGGTCTTTTATAAAGCTTGCAGGGCAGGTGGAAAGACAAGGAAAGCAGAAACAGAAACTACAACAACCTTGGATGTCACAATAGGACCCCCTTCATGCCCCACCTCACTGCTCCCTGGTTAAGGGTGTCTCAGCTCAAAAGCCCCAAGTGCGTTTGGAGACATTGCAGAGATGAACAGAGGGACAGAGGCACGGTGGGAAACAGTGTGTGGGGTCAAAGGAAAATAAGGCAGCGTCTAGACCAAGAAGGACCCTCACCTGGAGCCTCTGCTGGGAGCACAGCTCTGCTACTCCTTGACCTCGGACTTCTGCCTCCAGAGAAGATACATCCCTGGTGTGTGAAGTCACCAGCGTGTGGCACTTTGTTAGGGCTGCCCCAGGACATGCATACGATAGGTGAGGAGGGGATAAAAAGTCAGCCACAATAAATACACAGATGTCCCAACACTTAATAACCCAGCAGAGAGTCCAGCAACAGGGCATCTCCCTCCACCTGTCAGAATCCTCTGCGGAGCTTCTTCTGAATCTCAAGCTCAGGCCCCATCTGGACTGAGTGAGCATCTCTGGGGTGCAGCGAGGGATCCCCCCAAGTGCAGAGAACTGCTGGCAAGACCTAGAGGAAAGCGCTGAAACGTGGGGTCCAGCAAGCAGGTGGAGGAAGATGGGGGGGTCCCCATTGCACACACACGGGCGTGATGGGCAGGAGGCAGGATGGGGAGATGTCTCAGGGCTCGTCTAGTGTTTTTATTTCTCCTTTGATAGTGAGTGACGTTTGCTGCAGGGAGGTGTGACAATTGAGGGAAGGTGGGGGGTATGTATCTGAAGCCAGGCAGGGCAGAAGTGGTTTTAGAATCTAGACCAAACAGCTTCACTAGACAGAGAAGGAAGGAAAGGAAGGTGGTTGATGGGACGAGAGAGAAATTAAGATCTGAGATGGTTGGGTGCAAAGAAAGCCTTAGAGCTTGTGGAGGGTGCACAGCTGGGGTGGCTGGGACCTTGGACAGGTCTCTGAGAGGAGTGGGGTAGGGTGATTCCAAGCCAGGGTGGGGATTCAGGGTTTGAGGTAGGGCTGGGGTGCAGGGGAGGGTCATTGCTGATGGAGATGGCAAGGATTAAGGGTCATGGCACATGGGGAGTTGGGAGGTCCCCTGCATAGACACGATGTCCATGGGGTGAGGAAGGCACAGGGCTTTTCTCCAAGAGAGGAATCCCCTACAGAACAAGTACCCTTGCCAGTGATGACCAGAGGTGGGCCCTACAGGTGGACAAAGGGACGGAGTTATGTTAGGAAAAACAAATCACCAGATAGTTTTTCCCTCTATACGTTTACTCAGAGACAATACAGAGGACCAGCTTCTGTGACCCACTCTGGTGCATTTCTCCCCACCAGCAGGCAAGTAACCAGTTCCCCAGTGGACACCAGTGGGGTGTCCTCCAATCCAATTTGATTCTGACACTGCCTACCTGGAGATAGTGTCAGGTCCCACAGGGTGACAGCTCTGTCCCCAAGACTGCCTCTACCCCATTTCAGATGCCAGACGCAAACCCAGGCCTCTGCAACCTCTGACTGACCAGCTGCTGTCAATCAGGGGGTTCCCACGACTCTCCTTGGGTTCAGTGAGTTTGCTATAGCAGCTCCCAGGTCTCAGGGAAACAAATACTTTTGTACACAGGTTTAGTATAGAGGATGTGTTAAAGGATACAAAGACACTGACAGATGAAGAGTCACACGGGGCGAGGTCTGGAAGTGTGCTGGGTGCAGGAGTTTCTGTCCCCGTGGAGTTGCAATGACAGGCCTCCCAGCACGTGAATCAGTTCAGCTGTCCAGAAGCTCCCCGAACCCCGTTCTCCTGGGTTTTTGTGGAAGCTTCACTACGTAGGCATGACTGAAGCACAGACCACCGTGGAGAGATGTGAAGGGACGAAAAGGCCACCATCCAACACTAACAGGCTGGGTGGGGAAACCCAGCAAGGCCTGTCTGTTCAGGTCGCCCTTGATCTCTCTGTGCAACATTGCTCAGCCCCAGACCTGGGGCAGGACCGCCTCTGTCATGGGGCCTTATGACCTACAATCAGGTGAGGCGGGTCAGAGAATCCTCTGTGTCCAGCCCCAAGACAGAGAGTCAAGGGATGAAAACCAAAAAATATATCTCATGAAACCACAGGTATCAAAGAGGAGCTCTGTGAGTGTGATAGAGATGGAAGGAAGGAAGGAAGGAAGGAAGGAAGGAAGGAAGGAAGGAAGGAAGGAAGGAAGGAAGGAAGGAAGGAAGGAAGGAAGGAAGGA